AGAATGTTATCCCAGCTTGTTTTCCTTTTTGCTGATGCTGCTCAAATGCCAAACACGTTTGTACATTCAGTTCCCAGAATTGGACACTCTAGCCACCTGTATTGATGGTACAGTGGTATAATGGTATAATATAATGGTAATTATATCTGAACCATTTGTGCATTCAAACCATTTTGAAATGCTACATGCATTCACATAGAGCTCCTTTAATTCTGCTTTTATGATATTATTCTCTACTCACATCCTATTTGGTATTTGCAAATACTTTGTCTGCCTTCTGTTTTTGCTTTTGACATTTCTACTTCCTTTTACCAGTTTTGCTTCCCTCGAATCTGAGCTCACTCTCAGTTTCCCATTTCCCTGACAATCTAGGTTAAACCCTCAATAACACATTAGTGAATCAAGTTGTTAGTCCTGGACCTGCTAAATTGAGCCTATCTGTCTTGTCCAGGTCCAACTTGCTCCAGAATAGATCTCAATACCTCAGATATCAGATGGTCTCTTTTCTACACTAGTTCTCCAACCACATGTTCAATCATTCAGTTCTTTCATTGCTATGCTCATCAGGTATGTCAGACTGTAGATAAACCTGAGATCAATGCTTTAGACGTTGTGCTTTTCAATCTCCTTCCTCCTTCTCTGAGAACTGCTTTCAGAACTTCATTCCCCTTTTCATCTAAGTCATAGATGCCCATATGGACCACACCATCTGGCTATTGACCATCGCCCAGAAGAATGTCCTGTAGCTGCTCTCATGACATTTCTGATCTTGGCACCAAAGGGACAACATATTATCCTGAGGTCATATCTACAGCCAAAGAAATGCCAGTCTGTTCCCTTAAATAATGAATCATCCATCACTACTGCTTTTCACTTCTTCTTCTCCCTCCTGTACAGGTGACCCATTTGTGGTGCATCAACTTGGAATTGGATGCACTCCTCCTAGGAACCAATGTCATCATCTGTATCCCGACTGGAAAACCAATAAATGACCTGGACGTCGGGGCACTGCTGCACTACTTGCCTGGTTCACTTGAATTGTCTGCCAGTCACCTCCTTTCTTTCGGCTTCCATGTTCCTAGCCAGCAATATGACCAGCTCTCTGAATAAGCTATCTACATAGCTCTCAGCCTCATGGATATGGCACATTGACTCTAGCCATTCCCAAAGCTTCAACCTCACAGTTCAAGTTTCTACAACCAGTGTCACTTGCTGCACATGTAATTGTCCTGGTCACTCAGTGTCCACAATTTCTCACTGAGAGGGGAGAGATTTGAAAAAAGACACGAGGGACAAATTTTTTACACAGAGAGTGGTTTGCGTATAGAATGAACTTCCTGAGGAAGTGACGGATGTGGGTACAATTACAACATCTTAAAGAAATTTGGATAATAACGTGAATAGGAAATGTTTGGAAGGATATGGGCCAGGTGCAGGCGGGTGGGACCAGTTTAGTTTAGGATTATGCTCGGCACAGACTGGTTGCATCGAAGGGTCTGTTTCCATGCTGTATGACTCCATGACTATGATTCTATGTACTCCACGTGACCAAGCTGCGCTTCTATACCTGAACTTTACTTCATTTAATTTCACTTTATTTCAAATTAGTTTAATTGTATTCACTTTATTTTACTTCACCTCAACTTAATAAACATTGCAATCTGCTTTGTATCTCTATCTAACATGTTGCCTCGACTATTTCAACATGGCAACAGTGAACATTCAACATCACTTTCCAAACCTGTGAACTCTGCTTCTTTAAAAGACAAGGGCAACAGATGCATGGGAACACCAGCACCTAAAGTTTCACCCCCAAATCACATACTTTCCTGCTGGTGAATTATACCGCCATCGGTTAAAACTATGAAACTCCCTCACGAACAGCACATATCTACATCACATGGACTGCAGCAGTTCAAGAAGCTGAATCACTATGACCTTTTCAGACAATTGGGGATGGACAATAAATGCTAGCTTAGCCAACCACATCAACATACTATTACTTTTTATTTTAAAACGAGATTGGTGTTGGATTTTAGTGAACTGCTTTTGGTAAGAAATCAACGAATAAACTTTTCGTCATCAACTTAGTGATAATGACCAAGGTGTATTTCTTTTTGGTTTTCACTCCATTTCTCCTTTCTTTGTTACAAATGGGGGTTCAAGCTGGGAGTGAAGTTTCCACCTATGACAATGTCGTTATGGTGGCTCAATGGTTATCACTGCTCCCTCACAGAACCAGGGACCCAGGTTCAATTCCACCCTCAGGTGACTGACGTGTGAAGTTTGCACATTCTCCCTGTGTCTGTGTGGGTTTCCTCCAGGTGCTCCAGCTTCATCCCACAGTCCAAAGATGTACAGGCTAGGTGGATTGGCCATGCTAAACTGCCCATAGTGTCCAGGGATGTGCAGGCTAGGTGGATTAATCATGGGAAATGTAGGGTTGCTGGGGTTAGGAAGGGGTTTTGGATGCTCTTCGGAGGGTCACTGTAGATTTGATGGGCTAAATGGCCTACTTCCACACTGCAGGGATTCTGTGAATGTCACAACATCTGTAATCTTTTCAGTTTTTAAGGGGAGGGTATATTACATCAAACCCCTATTTAATCTTGACGTGACAAGGATTATTGGATGATGAACGGGACCAGGAGCTCTAGTAATATTTTCCGCATCCTTCTTTTTCCTTAACAAAGGAAAAGCTCTTGCATTTTAAACTTCTTTAAAAAATTCTCATTTCATTCCAAAGCACTTTACAGCCAATGAACAGCTTTTGAAATATAGCCATAATAGCTTTATAAGGCAAAATCTAAAATATTTGTAAACTCTGATGAAAGATCTTTGCCTTATGTTGCTAATAATACATTTAAAGTCTGTCTCTACTTTCTCTTTGTACACATGTTGCCTGACCTGCTGAGTAATTCAAGATTTTCTACATTTGAACCTTCCAGTATAAAAATTTAAACCGATAAGCAAACAATTTGTCTTCTTTTTAATTAATTTTATCCCTGCTTTTGTTAATACACTACAGGCTTTAGGTGAATGTCCTCAATAGGGATACATTAACAGTGCACTTTAACTTTTTAAGTCTGTTCCAGCACTAAGCATTACCATATGTATAGTCGCATCCTCATAAGAAAAACTCCACTGTAACTTCATAACATTTTCCAATTCTCCATGCCAGCCATTCCCGTGTCTGCTAATTTAGGGGATAATATTGATGCTGGCAATCTATTAACTTCCAAAAATCAAGGTTGGTTCATTTCAGACATAGGGAACACTTTCATCCCATTAATTTTGACCAGATATAAACCTTCAAGTCTTAGGTGTATCAAGCAAATAAATTATGTCGACCTGTATCAACATATTAAAAATCAAAGGAAATGCCTAATTTGCGTTGCCAGAATTTTTCTTCATCCTCTTATGGCCACATGTACTATTGTAAAGTGCAATGCCGAATATTGTTTTGTAATGCCCTTGTAAAGAGCCTTGGGATGTTTTAGAAGCAATGTATGTTGTTGGGTCAACATTTCTGATGTGCCACATGTCACATTGTAATTGCATGCTCTGGCCACTACATGTTTACATAGAACAAACACTGTCTTTTCATTAATTGGATGAGGATGTCGCTGGCTAGGCAGCGTTTATTGTCCATCCCTAATTGCCCAGAGGGCAGTTCAGAATCAACCACATTGCTGTAGGTCTGGAGTCACATGTAGGCCAGACCAGGTAAGGATGGCAGCTTCCTTCCCCTAAAGGACATTGTTGAACCAGATGGATTTTTCCTGACAATCGACAATGGATTCATGGTCATCATTAGACTCTTAATTCCAGATATTTATTGAATTTAAATTCCACCATCTGCTGTGGCGGGATTTGAACCTGGTTTCCCAGAATGTTATCTGGGTCTCTGGATTAACAGTCCAGCGATAATACCACTAGGCCATCGCCTCCCCTTAACTCCCTCCCTCCCATACACAAAAAAATTATCGATTGGCAATGGGCAATTTATCATGTATTTAAATACTTTAAATTCTTCGATAGATTAGATCATTCAAATAATAATAGTCAGTTTCCTATCTTGCAAGCTAGGAGCAAACAGAAAAATAATATTCTGTTAAACAAACAATAATTTCAAATGTCATAATAAATGTGGGAAAAATTGATAACTTCCTGTAGCATTGATTTTCTCTGTACTTGCCTGTTTTAAAAGCAGACAATGACCCTGTAGCCTTGTTAGCATTGACTTCTGATTCGCTGTTGCATAGAGAGAACTGACCTCAGACAATGTATGAATTGCAGTTGAAGATGAGTTCGGATTAATACTAATTAATAAAGACACGCAAGCTCTCAAGTATGAAATATACCTTAACTTCTCATAGCATCGATCTATTATAATATTGCCCTGGTAGGTTATAGTTACCATATACTGTCAATCAAACCTAGCAGTCAAGGACAACAAGAATTACAGGAAATTTGCCAAGGAAAGGTGGGATGGTGGTTAAACCAGGTAAAATGAAGGACTCATTGATTCAAAGGGAATTTAATGTTCACTTCTATATCAACATTTTTCCACAAGATAATTGGAAGTGTGTGTATAAGTATATACATGTAACATGTATGTAGAAAGAATCTGCCAGTGATTCAATATGAGATTTCGTGGAAATTCAAATTTTCAGGCACAGAAATATGGAGAAAAATACTGAAGTTGCAAATGACTCGAAGACTTATGACAATGTAAATGTTGTAGGTGTGTAACACATGCAGCTGAGCATACAACAAGAGTTGGTTGGATTATCGATGAATAGATGATAGCACAAATGACCAGGTTGTTTTATTGCCTTAGGATAAAAATACTACAATTTAATACCGAATTAAAGTATAAACTAAGACATCCTGGCAAGTGGGGCTGTTGACCATTGCCATTAATCAAGTCAAGCTCCAATCTGAGATAAAATTTCACATTTGTCACCTGAAATAAAACTCCCAAACAGACTCAGTCAGTCATGAATGATCAGTGCATTTATTCATCACAGTACAAAAATAAATAGAAATAAAAAAAAACATTAACATAAAATACAGCCACGGCTGTTCACAGCATTGTGACACTAATATTCTCAATTTCACCCAGACACACACACACACACACACACACACATACACCCTACACACATACAACAAATAACACCGTTTGGTCAACAAAGATTTTCTTTTTTTAAATAACAAATTGCACTGGGAAACATTTTCATAATATTAGCACTTTCAAAATGTAAAACTGAAGTCTCTCAGGCAGACTTCCGTGTGAAAATGGCACATTCTTAGTAGGTTCTGATATCAGAGAAACAGAAGTCACGTGCATCCCCAAACGACATAAAAAACGTGTGTATATATATCCCTTCTTCTCCATTTCGATAAATACTTCAAAACATTTAATGGAAAAAGAACTATTCCAATACTCCAATGTTTTCCTTGGTGTTTTTTTCTTGTTGTTGTACTAATATCGGTTTCAGGGACACAGATACTTTGCATGCACAATACCACTGTAGCAATTTAAAGAGAGATTTAAAAAAAACGTGCCGTTATTCCAGGACGGGTTTTAAATTTGTTCTAAAACACTTTTTTTTGTAGCAGCATGGAAATAAATCCCTTTCAGAGTAGAACCCCCATGACACACACATACACACGCACACACACATAAAGTAAAGGAAAATGATGCACACTCAAGTCAGTCGAGGTATCGGTTAGGTTCTAATCGATTCTCGAGATTTTATGTGTCTCTGGGACAGTGATGCAGCCAAGGTGGGGTGGGGATGGGGAAGTCAGACCTCAGTCACCGGTCCAAGCCTATGAGCATTCGCCCACTGTCGTCCTGGTTGCACTCGTTTTTGAGGTCAGCGAAGACCTGGGTGAAGAAGTGGGGATCGGCGTTGATTTGCAGCATTTTGGCGCTCATGGCGTCGATGATGCTGAGGCAGCGGTCCCAGAAAGCTTCCTTGCAGCTCTCCACCAGGAAGGGTTTGAGCGGGTAGGAGATCTCGTTGCCCATGTAGGAGTAGGATAGGTAGAGGCAGGTCAGGAGGCTGGCCTGCAGTTCGTGCTCGCTGGCGAGCTCCGGGGAGATCACGTCTCGGCACAGCATGTAAACAAAGACCACGTTGGCCGGAGCCACGAACCCTTGGTCCTGCCAACCCTGGAGGAGCAGCGAGCGGTCGACACTCCTCAACCACAGCACCGGCTCGCTGGGGGACAAGTGCTTCAGGCGGTAACACCGGCGGCACAGGAACTCGCCCAGACACTTGAGCAGCTCGCTGGTGGACGCCTGCACGATGACCCTCTTGGGAGACGAGGCGGAGCCCAGCCGCGGGCTCTTCTTGGGAGTCGAGGCTGCCTTGGAGCCCGGGTTGAGCCGCTGGGCCGGCGGTGGCTGGGCGAAGGTGGACAGGTTGGCGCAGGACAGCGACTTCTTCAGGTTCTCGTTGTTGAGGTGGGTCACATTGCTCTGGTAGCTGTTGGGGTTGACCTTCTTCGAGCTCTTCTTCTTGGCCGAGGCGGCCACGATGCGCTTCCAGGGCAGCACCGAGATAAGGGACTGCCGCTTGAGGTTCTTCTCCTTGCAGTTCTTGCTGTTCTGCACGGCCGTGTACTGGCCCACCGTGGCCGAGCCATCCTCAAACAGAGCCGCCTTCCTGTAGCTGGGGGACAAAGACAACACCGTACCCATGGTGGAGGCACTCACAGCTGTCCTTGGGGGTGGGCTCGGGCAGGGGGGCTTTCACGGCTCAGCCTCTGGGGCTGGGGGTGGGGGGGCACTGCAGATGCTGCCGAGGTCTCACTGCGTCTGGGAGCCGCCTCCCCCCGATCCTTGCAGATGTTGCAGCGTACTGGTTATTTTCCCAATGCAACCACTTTTTCTTTAAAACAAAATAATCAGGGATTAATCCAAATCATCTGCAGCGTCTGAAAAGTCCAGTTTTTGTTTTAAATTGTGTCCACTCCCACTGTTTTTCGTTTGGAAATCTGCAGCGCTGATATTAATGGCGATGTGTCACATACACACACATACACACACACACACACACTGCAGTAAAATGGCAGATTCACCGGTTTGTCTAAAGGCAACGACGTTGAAGCTTTCTCCACTTTCTGTGAGGGTGGCAGGACTGTCCGGACTCAGTAACAAGCCCCCGGCCCCGTCTCTCCTCTCTCCCTTGCCCCGGGTTTACAGGAACCAGACCTCGTCCTCCTGTTGGTCCAGGGAGGGTCAGGATGCCCCGGACTTGGGGAAGCGTTTCCCCGGTCGCTGTCCCTCTAAACGGGTGGCTGTTTTCCGGGCTGCATATTGCGGGAGATGGAGCCAGCCTCTCGCTCCCAGTCAGGGTCAGAGCACAAAGACAGGGGGCTTCAGGGCTCTCACCGCCTCTCGGTTCCCACAGATACCGGCGTCTTTCTCTTGTGTCTCTCTTGCTGCATCTACGCCTTCCTCACTGAAACTGTTTTTTCTCTTGCGTTCTAACGCACCCCGCCCCCTTGCAGGAGCACCAGTCATAACACACAGCTTTCCAAAAAGGGGAGGGCATTATAATTTCACTTAACCCTTTAGCTGCCACACGAGCTGTGATTGAGTGTAAAATTATCCCGAGTGCAGTTTCAATGAAGGTATCTTGAACAATATTTGTCCCTCAATTCAAACCTTTAAAAAAAGTGTTTAAACCCCTATGCCAACTGTGTGTAAATTGGCTATTGTGTTTTCCACATTACAAGTATCATACAGGACCCGAAACGTTAACTGTTTCTCTGTCCACAGATGCTACCAGACCTTCTGAGTTTCTCCAGCATTGCCTGTTTTTTACACGTTCGCGTGTATGCGAAACTTTACAACATCCTGACATCGGGAAAGGTGCAAGTAAAATTCACCACAGATCTAAAGAAGGATCACCAGACCCGAAATGGTAACTGATTTTTCTGCACAGATGCTGCAAGACCTGCTGAGTTTTCTGGCAATTTCTGTTTGTATTTCTGATTTCCAGCATTCCACAGTTCTTTAGTTTCTTTTCCACCCTAGTTGTTTTTATAGATCTTAGGGCTACATTCTCATTAGAGACACAACTGGTGGTTTAACCCGAGGGTCATCATGCCTCAGGCGAGGGTAGATGTTGAGAAGGACAATCTTTTGTGGTAACCTCAGGCTGTGCAGGAATTGAACCCACGTTGTGGGCATCACTCTGTATTGCAAATCAGTCATTGAAGCTAACCAACCCCTGGTATAAAGGTGCAAGCAAGTTCCTTTCAAAGCAAATTAATTTTTCTCGATATTGTTTTCTGTGAATTCTGGACTTGTTCATATTTCTTATTTCCCAAAGCAGAATACTTGGCAGAAAATAGAAGAAACTTGCATTTATATTGGGTCCAAATAGACTTATACCATAGATCATTTATTATGACAATATTTTTGTTTGTTGTAGAGAGAATATGTGTAATCAGTAATGTGTCCAGTTACAAGAATTTTCTTCAAATCTGTTCTGGAAGAGTTGAATTGAACTGCAATAAAATTGGCTTTGAGTATTTCTGGAGTATAGTAGGTTTGGGACATGGTAATTTACAAGATGTTATTGAGTTGCAGAATGGAAGTTATTAATGTTATGGTTATCATTAGATTGAAATGGTGTCAGTGAACCTTCTCATGCCAGGTCAGCTATTGACTTCCAGGTCAACCCCCAGCTCATGTGCATTTCTGACTTCTGACTTAACCTGTCCTAGGCTAAGAACTTAACCCACCCACCACCATATTCACTTCTCCCATTAGTATTATAGCAGCTTGCAATCTCCATCATTGTTTATTCCCAAGTCTACTTTGTCCCTCAGCTAGCTGCTACTCAGAAATATTCAAACAAACAAATTCAGTACATAGTGACAGTATTTCAAACAAATTCTTCCAATGAATGTAACGTGCTTTGGTACAAAAACAGAAAGTGCTGGAGAAACTCAGCAGGTCTAACAAAGTGTTAACTCTGTTTATCTCTCCACAGATGCTGCCAGAGTATCTCCAGCACTTTCTGTTTTTGTTTCTGATTTCCAGCATTCTCAGTTCCTTGTTTTATTTAAATGCTTTGGTACATTCCAAGGTTTTGAAATGTGCTATACAGATGCGCATGTCAATTTCAGCAAAGAAACATGTGGGCGTTTTGAGTTGACTTAATAGAAACATCCTGAAGAGGAAATAGGTACACAATGTTGAGGCAAAACAGTTGCCAAATGATTGGGGGCAAACAAAGAGATGACATTCAGGGAAAGTTTATAACAACTGTAGAGAGAGGGGCACTAAGACTCACTGGACACAAAAAGAATCAGAGAGTGGGAGAGAAAGAGATAAAGGAAAAGAGATTTTCATTTTTCCCTGGGAGTCATACGACAAAAGGTGAACTAGTCCTTGGTCAGATATATTTCAAAATCAATATATTTATTCTGCTAAAGTGGGATGTGGGGCAGTTTGATTTCAAATTTTGTCTCATTTATAAATATTTCACTGGTACAATCCTTGCCCTCAATTATGGCTGTTGAGCTAACCAAGAAACAAAGACTAACGGCAAAGGAAAGCTTAATCGGATTATCAACATTTTACAGGTTGGTTTATAAAGTAAAGAATATTAAGGAATATTTGAGGTAAGATCAAGAAATTATTTACTCCCATTGCCTTCATAAACATGTTCATGAAACTGCCGACGTGTGGGAAGAGTCACACGAGACAGTCTTTAGTCCACAGATTATGGCATCATTTGTGACAAGCCTCTTTTAAAATTGCCATTTAAAGTAATGTATTGTGCACTGCACAAACTGAGATGAAAATTCAGCATTGACTGGATTTGTAAACAGAAAAAAAAAAATTAGCATTTTGAGTAAAACTGTCTAGGTTGACATTTTAGTGCTATGTTGTGCTGAGTGAGTATTCCAGGATATACTGTCTTTTGGATGATGTGTTAAACCAGGTCCCTATCCCCTGTCTGTCAAGCATAAAAGATCTCATGACGCTATTTTGAACAAGTTTTGAGGAGTTCTTCTGACCCATATTTACCCCTCAACTGACAGTGATTAAGAAGAAATTATCTGGTCTTATTCCATTTCCATTTGTGAGGGATTGCTGTGTGCAAATTCACTACTGTTTCTCTAAAGCAGTGGCTACACAGAAGTGGATAACTTAAAGCATTTTGGGAAGTTTTGCGGTCATAAAAGACACTATATAAATGTAAGAACTTCCTCATGAAGTGCAGCAAATTTAGGCACTATGTTAGAAGATGCTGTTCCAAGCTCTGATATCAGTATACCATGTTTATAATAGGCAAGCTCGTGCGAGCAACAATACTCATTTTCTAATCCTGGAACTCAGACTGTGATTATATGTTGAAGTTTGTCTTTGTGGCTTGCCATATCATCCAAATCCCTTACTGTCTTGTAATTCAACCCAGTTAGTCATTAGCCGCTACTTAATATATACTGGTTACAGAATTTGATGTTTATTGAAAAAGCACAGATATCATTCCTATTTCCATTTTTGTTTAAAAAGTCATAATGGCATCAATGACATGATGATGATGGTGGTCTGGGCTGTCAGCTGCTGACCTTATAAACATGAATTAAAAGAAAACTGACTGAAACCAGTTTGAGGTAAAGTGAAAAACAAATTCTCTCCCAAACCCAAGTAATTTCAAGGCAGTGATCTACCAGGTTTAGATCATTATAGATCATTCTAGTGTTATTCAGAGGGTTTATTGTGAATCATAAAAGCTTCAATTATATTATTGCTTTATTATGCCAGAGGGGGGAGGTGATGGCCTAGTGGTATTATCGCTGGACTGTTAATCCAGAGACTCAGGTACCGTTCTGGGGACTCAGGTTCAAATCCCACCGTGGCAGTTGGTGGAATTTGAATTCAACAGATATCTGGAATTACAAATATAATGGTGACTGTGAATCCATTGTCAAGTGTCAGGAAAAACCCATCTGACTCACTAACATCCTTTAGGGAAGGAAACTGCTGGTCTGCCCTACATGTGACTCCAGACCCACAGCAATGTGGTTGACTCTTAACTGCCCTCTGGGCAATTAGGGATGGGCAATAAATGCTGCATAGGCAGTGACACCCTCATCCTGTGAATGAGGAAAGGGAAAAAAAAAAGTTGATGAATTCTCCTTATGTCAGCCACTTGCTTTTGAGCCCAAGTGAAGAAGGACTTGAGGTTTAAGTCCCATTCCAGAGGCTTGTGTACAAAATCCACATCGTCAGTCTAGAATACCTAGTGTGGAAGCAGGCCCAACACCAAACCTCCAAAGAGCATCCCACCCAGATGCTGCCCCCTACCCTAACCCTGGAACCCCACATTTCCCAGATAACAAGGCGTAGAGCTGGATGAACACAGCAGGCCAAGCAGCACCAGAGGAGCAGGAAGGCCAACGCCTCAGGCCTAGACCCTTCTTCAGATTTCTGAAGAAGGGTCTAGGCCCGAGGTGTCGGCCTTCCTACTCCTCTGATGCTGCTTAGCCTGCTGTGTTCATCCAGCTCTACACCTTGTTATCTCAGATTCTCCAGCATCTGCAGTTCCTGCTATCTCACCCCACATTTCCCCTTGGCTCATCTACCAAGCCTGCACATCCCTATACACTATAGGCAATTTAGCATGACCAATCCACCTAAACTGTACATTTTTGGACTGTGGGTAGAAAATCACACAGGGAGAAGATGCAAACTCCACACAGACTGTTGCTCAAGTGGAATTGAACCCAGCTCCTTGTCACTATGAAACAGCAGTGCTGACCACTGAGCCACATACCACCCCAATCTAGTGCAGTCTTTTCATTGAGACATCAAGCCAAGACTGTCTGGTTTCTTGGATCAATGCAAACAAAAAACTGACAGCATTATTTAGAAGAGCAGGGGAGATCTCTGGTGATCCACCCAATATTTCTGCCTCAGTATCACTGAAATAGCTTAACTGCTCATCCTTGCACCGCTGAATCAGGGATCTTGCTGTTCTGAAATTGGTCTCTGCATTTCCTTTTAGGATCTTCTGAGGTCATGAAAGGTAATATATAAATTACTCTTAATAGTCCTGAAATGGCCCCAGTTAACCATCAGCAATTCAGGATAGGAAACAAGTGCAGTCCATGTCACTGTTCATGAAAGAACAAAGAACATATTTAGATTTGAATTCCTTTGTGCAGTCAAGTGGTTTCTGAATTGAGCATTGGTTGAATAATTACATTTAATTAAACAATTAGGCACAACCGCCTAAAAGATGCTTTAAAAAGTTTCTACGTCAATGTGTTGAGTTTCGGTGTTAGTTCTAATACTGCAGAGGATATTTTTAGTATTCATGTTCTAGATGTGAGTGCTGAAGACTGCCCTTAAGCAGGTGGCGAAGAGTCAGCTTCTAGCCTCTCTGATGCATTTTCTGACGAAGGGTCCCAACCAGAAACGTCAACTTTCC